CTCCTTCTCTAGCACCATGTCTACCTGTATGCTATCTTGCTTCCAGCCATGACTATAATGGACTAAACCTCTGAACTGTAAGTAAGCCCAGGTTAAATGTTTTCTTTTATAAGAGTTGCCATGTCATGGTGTCTCTTCATAGCAATAGAAACCCTAACTAAGACAGTCTGATTACCTTTAGTACAGAGGCAATGAAATGGTCTTAAAAACGGACTGCCCTGAGGATAAGTAAGCACACATCTGTTTTCTTAGTTCAAGTCACATGGTGACATTTCTCAATTCTTTCCTCACATCTGCAAGAAGGGAAGTCACCATAAAGCAGAGACCTAAATGCCTCCATACACTTTCATTTAACTGCATGAGTGAATTTTTTTTTTTTAAGTGTCAACTTCAGTTCCTCAAGCATTGTAGGGAAACTAATTTTTCCATCAGGGTGATTCTGAATTCCCTTGAGAAACAAAAGGCAATGGCTGGATTGGTTTGGGTTGGAGTTGATAGAAAGAATCTGTTATGAAAAGAAACTCTCAATATTTTATAGATAGTTCTTATACTAGTTCTGTTAAGGTACAGATTTCTCAGAGAACTATTTCCAGTGGCCCCTGAATGACCTCACCATGTCTACCTCACCTGTAGCAGACATAGAAGAGAGGAAGAAAGCTGCATCTCTGGACCTCAGTTTCATGGGGTTGGACTCCGTGTGTGTGTGTGTGTGTGTGTGTGTGTGTGTGTGTGTGTGTGTATGTGCGTGTGTACACCAAAATGCAAGCCATTCCTACCTATGAGTTGGAGTGCCCATAGTAGAAACTCTTCTGGAAAGATTATATGACATTATGGCTGAGAAACAGATCTGTAATTAGCAATATAGCACCCAAAGGCTTAGGAAGTTATTGTTTCTTCTTGGTTCTCTTCTCTGTGTTTACACAGCTCATGTATGCAGAGCTCATGTATAACAGAGCTGAGTGGAACGGAGCTGAAGTAAATAAAAAGATTCTGAGTCACTCAGGATTAGAGACTATAATGAGAAAGAAGCTAAGCTGGATAGCCGGCCAGGATGTACATGCCTGTGGTCCCTAGAGGTTGAGACAGGAGGATAGTGAGTTCCAGGGTAACCTGGATTACATAGTGGCATCCTGTCTCAAAACAAAAGGGCCGTGAATGTCTCTCAGTGGTAGAGTGCTTGTCTATCATGTGAAAAGCCTAGGTTTAGTACTCATCACCTCAAAGAAAGAGCTGAGGAGAGTAGAGGCTAAATCCCAGATAAGTGAGAAGACACCAGCCCTTCCTTTGTCCCTCTCTGCTTCCCTCCCATTTTAGCCCCATTTGAAGGAAGGTATGGAAACTGAGGACACGCTCCTCCCTATGCCTCCAAATGACAAAGGATAGAGAAGCCAGCCTGCAAGGATGAGCACTCCAGTTGGAAATGACTCAAAACTGTATGTGGTAAATGTGGACTTCCTCGATAGGAGGCACGAGGACACTCCCATCTAGAACTGTTCTCTTATCTCTCAAAAAAGAGTTTTCCCATGTGCTTGCTGCTGTTTGCAAGGCATTTCATTTCTCTTCAACAACGTTCTGTTCCCGATAGCACCACCTCTATTTCACAAGTAATGAAGGTGAGAATTAGGGGGTAAGAGCCTTCCTTGTCCAGGGTCACACTGTATGGGAGCAATAAAACTAAACCAGACACCAAACCCAGTGGCTATTGCCAGACACCAAACCATGAGCACTGATGGGACTTGGGATTCAGAAAAGTGGCCTGATGGGAAGGGAAGGGTGATCTGCTTGATTCTTCTTCCCACCCTCGGGTCTTTCACTCCTTCCTCCCAACCTCTGCAGTCCCGCTCCAGAGCATCCCTGGACCCACACCATCACACCCCCGCCATCAGCTGCAATCCTCATGACCACAGCACACTTACCGCCTCACATCCTGTCTTTGACCTACAAGCACAAACGCAACCAACAAAGGGAAACAGCTAGAGGAGCCCAGGTCTTTGCTCTCCCTGCCAGTCTCTCTCCCTTTTCCTGTCACTCTCTTCCTCTCAGGTCCCTCCTCCATCACTGCCCCTCCAGGGTAACAAGGCTTTTAAACCCCTCCAAGGTGAAGCAAAGGACAAATTGCTCCCGGCAAGGTCTGGACTAGCCTGCATCCTTTCTGATGGGCCTGGGACTTGGAACATTTCCAGGCATTTCAAGACCTTTTTTTTTTTATTATTTCCCTTCCTTACAGATCATGCCTGCAAAAGCAGTTCCAGCCCTCTTTCTCCCATCTACAACAGTTGTTACTCACACACAAGAGCCATCTTCCCCAGGAGTCCATGGCTGTGGACAGAAAATCTCACGAATTCGGAGCTGGAGGGGTCTTAGCTTGGTTTGAACCTGTCCCTAAACCATTCCCCCACTTTAGCACTCTTTCTCCTGTACCCCCCCACACACTATTACTGGTGGTCAGCAACCTTACGCCCCTGGGTCTACCTTGCTTCTATGTGGCTGTGATAATACCATGACCAAAAACAATAGTTTATTACACATCACAGGTCACAGTCCAGTCAATCATGGAGGGAAGCAAGGGCGGGTTCTTTAGGTGGCAACATGAGGGAGGAACTGAAGCAAAAGCAGTGATAGTGCTGCTCACTACCTCTGGCTTGCAGCTACCTTCCTTCCTTCCTTCCTTCCTTCTTTCTTTCTTTTCTTTTTTTTTTTTTTTTTTTTTTTTTTTTTGGTACTGCTACAATGGGCTGCTCCCGCCTACATCAGTTAGCCCACAAGCCTGAGGCAATTCCTCAAATGAAGTTCCCTCTTTCCCAGGTGTACCATGTTGACAATTTAAGTCAATCCCTTAAAGGCAGGATGACTTTAAATACTGTATTTGGTCAGGTATGGTAGGAGACAGCTTTAATCCCAGCACTCAGGAGACATTGGCAGGTGGACCCCTGTGAGTTGAGTTCGAGGCCAGCCTGGTCTACAGAGTGAGTTCCAGGACAGGCTCCAAAGCTACAAAGAAACCCTGTCTCAAAGAGCCAAAAAACAAAAAAACACAAGAAAAAAAAAACCTGTATATGACACTCAGGTCATATACTTGGCATTAAGTTCAAAACACAAGGCCACTGTCTCCAAGAGCCCTGCAAGGCCTGACTCACAGATATTTCTTGGGGGGAAGAAAGTCAATCTGGCTGTTTCCTCTGAGTCTTCATCCCAGAAGCACCCAATATGAACCTGCATAAGTTTTAGAGAGAGTGGGATACCTAGATGAACATCCATAGTCCCAACCCTTATGAATGACACCCTCGTCCTAACAGGTGGATCTGGGAAGCCATCTAGAATATAAATGAGGCATGTCATTAAAGTTGATTCCTAATGTCCTAGTGCATGGGAGGGGTGACAGCCCTGCTAACTTCCCAGCACTACTGTGAGACACAAATACGAACCATGGAAAACCCTGTGTAAATGAGAGCTACTCCTAAACCAGGAACCAGGCTCTCTGGAGAACCTCATCAACCCTGATAGATGAACAAAGAAACAGAAGAATGCATGAATGGGTGAGTGTGTGGACCTGATGGATGAACAAAGAAACAGAAGAATGCATGAATGGGTGAGTGTGTGGACCTGATGGATGAACAAAGAAACAGAAGAATGCATGAATGGGTGAGTGTGTGGACCTGATGGATGAACAAAGAAACAGAAGAATGCATGAATGGGTGAGTGTGCGAATGGATAGAACATCTTCAGTATACATGGGGTCATTCATATGCTACCTTACTTTTTGTAGGGCTGTAAAGCCTACACTTTAATTTCTTTCCTACTTCATTTTAACCTTATATCCTTTACAATTTGCTTTGTAAAAGGTTTTTGTGGAGCTGCTCCAGAACTGTCATAAGTAACACAGTTAGGTCTCAAACTTGAGAACTTGAACTCAGGCCTTCAGCTATGCCTGGAAGCATTGTTTCTATCCAGCTTCCTAGTGAGTGTTCAGCTCTCAGTTTGAACTTCATCTTCTCACCGCCAGCTTCCCTGCCCTGCCCTGCCCTGCCCTGCCCTGCCATACCATGCCCTGCACTTCTTCGCTCTTTTCCATTCACAGCTTTTGTTTTCTGTATCTCATTTAGTATGACCATGGTTTGACATGATATTATTTGGCATTGCTGTGTTTATGCCTGTAAAGTCTTCTGCATGCTGAGCTCTGTACTGAATTTGACCCCCATCATTTATTAACACAGGAGAACTTTAGTTTTATTAAACCTGTATAAAAACTAAAGTTTATGGGGTTTAAATTGTGTTCCTTGTTTAAACAGAAGTAGCAGTTTTCCTGAGTAGAAGGGTCCAGGTCTATTTGTGCAACAGAAACTTGGAAACTGTTTTTTGTTTTGTTTTGTTTTTTTCTAAAAACACTTAACTCCTCACATGGACCCAAGAGGACAAAGACAACCTGCAGTCATCTTGGATTCCAGAAACAGCAAATGCCTCACAATGCAGACTACCTTCCCACCCCAGTGATAAGGACAATCATCTATGAGGGTGCCCCGGAGGAGAAGTGACCAATCCCTTCAAACATGGCAATTGTGTTGATAACAACTTCTCCAGGCCACCTGGCAAACTGGAACTGGGATGATGATCAGCTAGACCAGTGTCTTGTCCACAACCTCTTGGTTACTCAGACCTCCTGTTCTATCTTGATTCTCCACCTTCTACAACCTGAGGCTCCTGTCAGCAACCTGAAGACTGGCTTTGGAGTCATTGAACCCATGTCCTTTCCCATGTGGCCACATGGATTAAATCTCCTCTTCCTGTTCTACACTAATATAAGTCTTTTTAATTGGCATGTTTAATTGTGTTGTATGACAAAATTTTTTTTCCTGGAGAGATGTAACACACACATCTACTCACTGAAGATTGGGATCCTGTGACAGACCAAAGTATGGATACCACCAAAGTTCACTGAGTTTTGCGGGTGAGGGGTTATTTACAGCATCAGAAAGAACTCAAAGAAATAACTAAAAACCTACCCAGCTTTGATAGCCCACAAAGCTGGAACCTGGAGCACACTACAAATCTTGCAGGCAGCTCAACCTGGTGCAGAGTGTCCTTCCCAGGTGTCTCAGTTGGTCTAAACCTCTTCCAGGCAGTTCTGCTGGTTTCTGCTTCTTCCGGCAGCTGGTCTGGTCTCAGAGTCTTCTTTGCAGCTCAATGTTTATTGCTTACTCTGGCAAGGAGGGGCCTAGTGAATTTGGTCAGTTTCAGGGACTTCCTGAAGCTATTTTGAGTTGTCTACTGTAACGATAAGTCTTTCCGCCAGCCACCTGCTTCCTCCGCAACGTTAGGACCCCAAAAATAATACACAGAGACTTATATTAGGTACAATGCTGATGACCAATGACTAGAATTTCTTATCTGCTAGCTCAGTCTGAATTATCAACCATAATCATTAATCTATATATTTATAAAGACTTATCTGATGGAGGATGCCGGCAACATGCATCCTCTCTTGTCCGGCTCACATGGCTATAGCCCTCTACTACATTTCCCAGAATCCTCCTTGACTCCTAGTCCCACCTATCTTGCTTTCCTATTGGCCAACAGTGCTTTATTCATCAACCAATAATGACAAACATATACACAGAATGACTTCCCCCATCAGTCTACTTTCCTGCTTAGGAAGCTCCACTACAAGATAAAATATTTCCATTTCAGAGGAAACTATAATACAATGGGTGGCCAGACCCAGCCTATTTGGACTGTTTGGACCTGGGACAAAAAAAAAAAAAAAAAAAAAAAAAAAAAAAAAAAAAAAAACAGGCTGTAGTCCTAAAAACCCAGTTATATTTATGTTGTACTAAACACAGTACATAATCTAAAGGTTACTATGAGTTCAAGGTCAGCCTGGTCTATAGAAGAAGCTCCAGGACAGTCAAGGCAAGAGAAACCCTGTATAGAAAAAATAAATAAATAAATAAATTTTAAAAAAACCTAGAGGTTAAGTATATACTAATTTTAACTATTATTTTTCAGAATTAACTCATAACTGCTACAATATGTCCTAAGAAAATTGGTAACATCCCAGTGCCTACCAGTATCAGAAGGACTGGGAATTGCTGGTGTGTGTGTGATACATTGATGGTTGCCACGCAATGAGCAATGATCCACTGCTTTCAGGCTAATGGAGATGAAGAGCACTTGGTCCTCATTAATATCTGTCTTGAAAATACATGTTCTCATTCTTCTCAAGAGTGCTTAAGGAAGATATCTCAGCAATGTGAGGAGAAGATGTGTATTGGGAATGAAGGACAATGAATAACCTAAAGCCAAATGGCTATCTAACAAATGACAGAGTAGACTGCGAGTTCTTGGAGACAAACTATGATTGGAAGAGCTTGGATTTCAGCATCTGCACATGTAGCAGAATGTGGGGTAAGTTCCAGCTCACTGAACTTTGCTCTCCACATCTGTGAAATGAGGTGGGGGAAACCTTATCCTCAGGAGTGTCATAAGGACTCAAGGGAACTGTGTGTAAACCACCTGATTCTGGGCCTAAGGAGTTGGCTCGACAAGAATGCTTCCTGTTCTTGCAGAGGACTCAAGTTCACCCATATCAGGCAACTCACAACTGCCAACAACTACAGCTCCAGGGAATCTGACACCTTCTCTGGCTTCCTCAGGTACCTGCATCTATATCCACACACAGACACATATTTAGAAATAAAGCTAATCTTCTAAAAAAAAAAAAAAAGTCAACAAGCTGAATGGTGGTGGTGCACTCCTTTAATCCTAAGGAGACAGAGGCAGGCAAATCTCTGAGTTTGAGGCCAGCCTGGTCTACAGAGTGAATTCCAGGACAGCCAGGGCTACACAGAGAAACCCTATCCCAAAAAAAAAAAAAAAAATACTGAGAAAGAGAGAGAGAAGGTCAACAAAAGATACCTGATGTATACTTATTTGGTGGCAAATGGCCTTTCATCTTCTCCCTCTATCCCTTGTTAAGAATTATGTACTAGCACACATAGAAGATGTGACTGCATAATAAAGGAGATCAATATCAGAAGTTACTGAGTTGGAATGTAAACTATGAGATGAATGTCCCTGGGCCCGGCAGTGCATCTTAGGGAACTGCTCACTTTGCCTAGCAGTGCTGTTTGCATGAACATTTTTGAAATGCTTCTCGATGCCTGTCAGACCCCTGTGCAGAAACCATTGGCAGGAAATGAAATCAACGATCTGCTGTCTACCCATCACCACCGACTGTTACTCATCCTGAATAAGTGAATGAGTGACTCTTTTCAAAACAGAGCTGGGAATCAGAGCCAGTCCCAACCCTAGCACCCCTGCACAGAGTGGCCATTCAGCTCTGGATCAAGTGTCACTCAGCTGCCCAGAACTTTTTTCAGATAAGCTCAGAGCACTTGTGGCCAACTTCACCACCAGTCGCTTTGTAAATGGAGAAGTGTGTTGGCTCCTGGGAGTAGAGAGCATTAGTCACAGGAGGCTAAGGACAGTGATATTCCTGAAAACAGGGGACTCGAAATCGAATTACAAATATCTAGGGCATTCTTTCTTCTAGAGACAGGTTGAAATACTAGCTCTTGGGAGATGAGGTGACTGTAATACGGCAAACATGGCAGGGATGCAAGCCCTTTTCAGGGAGACACGCTCCCCTTGAGAGGGCATCAAGAGGCCTCATGTAAAAAGCTTGCTTTTACTGTGAGCAACCTCAAAAGAGCCACTTCTTCAGTTTTGAAAGTCAATCGTGTTGTTATCCCTCCTAGTGACTGCCCACTGGGTCATTATACTTATCTGTGTGGTGACACAAAAGAGAAAAAGAAAGCCAAAAAGCAGAGACCAAGCTGCCCAATGGCTCTGAGTATGGGGTACTTGCTGTCTGTGCTGGCTACTCATAGGGAGAAGACCTGAGTCCTTATTCCAACCCTAGCTTTGCTAACTCTGCTAGGAGGCCCAGATCTCCCCTGCTCCTACTTCATTATCTTTCCTACAAATGTAGCACAACTCTTGCAGAAAAAAAAACAGCCATCTTTTGAAAGACAGCTTACTTCTGCAATTCACCTTCCTCCTCCCTCCTCCTGCCCCCTCCTCTCTCTTTCTTTGACACAGAGTCTCCTTGCCACCCAGGCTAGCATCAAACTAGCTAAGTATGACTTTGAACTTCTGCTCCTCTATCTTCTCCCTCTCTGGAGTGTTGGGATTATAGGTGTGAGCCACCAGGTCCGTTCATGTGGCACTGTGGATCAAAACCAGTGTCTTCTGCATCCCAGATAAACACTCGACCAACTGATCTACACCACCAGCCCCTTAACTACAATTTGTTGATTGAAAACGTTTTTTGAACATTTTCAATCCCAGGGGAAAATGGAAAGAATAGTACAGTCAATGTCCATGTGTCCATTCAGGCAGACACAGCAACTGGCAAGCGCTCACCACGCACACAACCTTCCTTCGTTCTGTCCAGATTGGCACTTGTCCTTGTCTTCAGCTAAACCATCTGGAGACTAGCCTGTCGTATTGTGCCACCTCACTCTTAGAAATGCCAGTCTGCATCTCTAGAGGGCAAGCTCATTCTCTGACATAATCACCACCACAAAAACAAACATCAGGACAACAGCAGCTGACAACCAGTCCACATTCAAATCCCCCAGTCCGCCCCCCCAAAATGTCTCTTATGGCTATTATTCATTAATTAGTTCTTTTGGATCCAATTCCAAGCATCCACATGGCAGGCAGCTCACAACAATCCATAACTCTAGCTCCAAGGGATCAGATGCCCTTTTCTGACCTTCAAGGCATGGGCACCAGGTACATATGTATATGCAGGCAAACATTCATACCTGTGGCTATGGTGCACACCTTTAATTCCAGCACTCAGGGAGGCAGAGGCAGTCTGATCTGTGTGAATTCAGGGCTAGCCTGGTCTACAAAGTGAGTTCCAGGACAGCCAGAGCTACACAAAGAAACCCTGTCTTGAGAAAAAAAAAAGAAAGAAAGGAAGGAAGGAAGGAAGGAAGGAAGGAAGGACGGAAGGAAGGAAGGAAAAGAACAGACAGAAACAAACAAAAAAAAAAAAGCAAGAGCTGGGCGTTGGTGGTGCACGCCTTTAATCCCAGCACTCAGGAGGCAGGGGGAGGGGGATCTCTGTGAGTTCGAGGCCAGCCTGATCTCCAGAGCGAGTGCCAGGATAGGCTCCAAAGCTACACAGAGAAACCCTTGTGAGTTGAGCCAAAAAAAAAAAAAAAAAGAGGAAGAAGAAGAAAAAAGAAAGAAAAAGAATAGACAGCATTTTGTGAAGTGCCTAATTTGTCCCTATGATCCAAATGGATCAAGTGGAAGAAACCTGCAGTGCTTAGCAGGGTGGCCATGCTGGCCAGACACCAGCTACAGAACTACAACCCATCAAGAAACCTGGCACTATAGCAGCCCAAATTTTGCAGCATCTGAATCAACTGCTTCCCAGGTCCCACTCCTCAGGTTTCTGTCACTAGGATCTTCAGGGAGGACTTTCTCCATTGACTAACCTTCATGTATACTCTACTTGGAATAATATGTGGGGCTGTGTTAATTTGGTTTTGTTTGTTTGTGTTTTACATTTTTTTGACACAAGGTCATAATACTATGTAGCCTTGTCTGGCTTGCAACTTTCTTTGTAGACTTGTCTGACCTCAGTTTGCCGCAATCCTCCTGCCTCTGTCTCCTGAGCGTTAGATTACAGGCATGCACCAGTCCTTCCAGTGAACATGTTTTCTCCCCTTCCCTTTCCCCTCAGTCTTGCCCCTCTCTGCTTGTTACCCTGTTCCTCATTGAATGACCTTCCATTCATCATTCAGTGTCAGTCAGAGCTGTCCTTTTCCCTGGAGACATTTTCCCCTGTCATCCTCCTACACTGCCGCTAGATCTATCTAGACAAACCACTATGTCTCTTACACATCCTGTGCTGTGGTGTCCTGGTCTCTTTTGTCTCCTGTTAGACACTGTATTCCTTGAAGTCACACAGATCTGTGAGTCTGTATCCAGAGATAGTAGTTATCCAGTCATTGTGAACAAGGAGTAGTCAGCGACGGGGGTGGGAGGGGGGAATGGGACAACAAAACCTGTATGCTTTCTAAAGCCCGTTTAAAAATCTATTCATTTATTGTATGAGCATTGATTGGTGTTATGTTATTGATGCCTGTATGTATGTCTGTGTGAGAGTGCTGGATTC